TACGCTTAGCTTCTAAGGCAGCATTACGCGAATTAGGTCCGGCGATCCGCTCATTCTTCGTCCCCGTACAATTCGGCGTAGCGGTTCAAGGCGGAGCGGAATGCATAATCCACTCAGTAAGGGCGCTGCTGGAAGAGGATCGTAAACGCGTGGCGTTACAAATCGACGTAACAAACGCCTTCAACAGTGTGGAGAGAGCGGCCTTTATGAACTCGATTCAGTGGTCCGAGCTCAATCCTCTCCTACCGTTGGTTCGAAACCTCTATGACGGGCCTTCACGTCTACAACTGGACACGGCATTCGGAGAAGAACACATCCACAGCACTAGGGGTGTACGTCAGGGCGATCCGCTAGGCCCGCTCCTGTTTGCCGTGGCCATCCAACCGTCGCTTCTGCATGCCGCGATGGCTTTCACTGACGTCACGATAGTCGCCTATGCGGATGACATTACGGTGGTGGTGTTATGTGATGCTATCATCTGCATTCACGTCTGTCTGCCTCCCATCATATGTTCGTGCGTTGCATGCGTGGTGTGAGCGTGTGCAAGAATTTGTGTTTGATGTGGTTTGGCTTGAGCAGATATCTGAAGTGACTTCTCTGCTCAAGAGCTTTCCGTCAAGCCAAGTATCGCTTCAATCGGAGCACGAACAAGAAAGTTACGAACGTTTGAAGTTCGTATGCTTTTGATATTTGGTTGTGGTGACTATGGGAAGTTGTGGGGTTGACTCCATATGGGGTACAGACTTTTTGGGGTTTGAGAAATTCGTCAACATCACTGTAGATGCTGCCAAGTGGTTGGGCGGAGCCAAACCAGGTTGGCAAGTGTGGCCAAGTTGGGCAAGGTGGATGACATGGGTTGGGAAAGCGACAAAAGTGAAAGTGGGGTTGCCTATGGAGAGGGGAATTGTGTGGCATGGGGTTTCCATGGTTGGGGACTCTCTTGGGACCTTCCCTCTCGTCCTCCTCATCCCATCCCACCTGGTTTATTGCCACTCTAACTCTCTTGTGTAGCAATTGTGAAATTGTGAGACTCTTATCATTGAGTTAAGTTCTCATGGCAGCATACCCCCCTGTGCGCCGAAATTGATAAGTCGAGATTTACTTCACCTTTTGATACGATTCAAACTGGGATTTGTAGCCACGGACTAGGGCTACAACATATCTGAGTTTGGTGAAGTTGTCACCGTGAACTTCTCGTCGACGGCGTTTCTTGTGAACTCGACTTTTATGTCCAGAAATTGAGACCAACGATTTTGTGATATTTCGGCTCCTAATCTTCATAGACTCCGTCCTTAGTCTCTAACAGGTGGGACCACCGGAGGCGGCGTCCCGTGCATTCGATCTCCTCGCCAGTAGCCTGCGGCAATGTGGCCTCCACTGCAACTACAGCAAATCGGCAGCGTGGGGACCAGAGCTCCACAATGAGATGCAGCAGCTACCGGAGGGCATTGCGGCGCAAACGGGAGGAATACGGGTGCTTGGGAGCTCGATAGGCACCCCGGACTTCGCAGCGGCCTTCTTGCGCGACAGCCTCACCGAAGCCGCCTCCTCGTGCGACCTCATCGGCCAGCTACACCCCCAGCACGCCCTCCTCCTACTCTCTCGTTGCATCTCACGACGGATCTCATACCTTCTACGCACAACACCGGCCCAGTTACTACCCTTGGAGGACTGGCGCAGTTGGAGCGAGTCCCTGCTCTACACGGCCCTCACGGCGGCCAAGATCCACTACCCTACGGTTGAACTAGAGCAGAGCCTCGCCTGGCGGCAGTCAACGTTACCGGTCAGACTTGGGGGCTTGGGCTTAATTGACCCAATCTCGGAGGCACCAGCTGCGTATCTCTCCTCAGTAGGTGCGGCCCTGCAACTGCTACAACAGCTAAACACCCCGCGGGACCACGCCCTTGCCCGTGTAGCCACCCTGCTCTCCCCGGACCATGCACCAGCGGGGGAGGTGTCTACACTGGCGGAACTGGAGGCACGACTGCCGGAGGGGGCCAGACTGCTGCTAAGTGATTTCCGCACAAACTTGGGCACGCAACAGAACCTGCAGCTGCAATTGTCAAACCACGTCAACAGAGCAAGAGCAGCCGAGCTGGTGGCTGATACCAGAATTGACAGACCCGGCACGGACAACAGACACCCCCTGCACCTCCTCAGCCTCCAAGGCATGGGCGCGGGAGACTGGTTGAACGCGGTCCCGACCCGGGCGGACCTCACTCTCTCCCCAGGGCAGTTCTCCACGGCCCTGGGACTATGCCTCGGGCTTACCCTGCCAGTCACCGACCAGTGCCCCTGCAACAAGGAACGGTCTGCCACCACAGATAAGAGCCTACCCAACCACCTGTTACGCTGTGGGGAAGGGGGAGATCGCACCAGGACACACAACGCACTGGTTTACGCGTGCCTACGCATGGCTAAGGAGGCTAAGTACATGACACTGCACGAGACAACGGTTTATTCACTGCTGGTTGACCGGAAGCGGGCGGATCTGAGCATCCATGATCCAGAGACGGGCGAGACATGGGTGACGGATGTCACCATCACGGACCCGGTTCTGCAGCGGCGGGACCTAGAGGCAACAAGGGCTCCAGGGTGGGCGGCTGAGGAGGCGTGCATTGGCAAGCACAAGATGTACCAGGAGAGGCCATCATGTGTGGGGTTCTTGGGGCTGGCGGTAGAGACCTACGGGGCATTAGCGGCAGACACAGTCAAATTCTTCCGCATCTTAGCCACTAATGCCGCCAAGAGGGGTTTCCGCCACGGCCCACAGACCACGGTAGCAGCAAGGCTTAATGCCCACTACCGCCAACGTTTTTCGGTGATGCTCCAGAGATGCCAGGCGACAGGGCTGCTCGCCAAGTCCAACCGTGCGGCAGAAGCATCCTCACCTCAGGCACCATCAGACCCATGTGAGCCGCGGCTGGGTGACCTGTGGCAGGTGCTGGAAGACGGAGTTGGGGGCTGAATGGTCTAAGAGGGGAAAGGGGAAAGAGAGGGTGAGTGCTAGCCGGACATGACAGCTCTGGCCAGGGTAGTATAGCCAAGGCCGCACTGTATGTTTTGCTCTGCTTAGCCTGCTCGCATGGCCATGACTGCCACGTTTTCTGGCCCTAGCATGTCCCTGCAGGTTCTTACGTGCCCTTGCATGTCTTTGCATGTCCTTGCTTTACATGTTTGGTAGCCTATCGACCATGATCGGTCATGCCATTCCTGTACCCTTATGAATCTATCAATGCAGGACTGCTTGAGAGAGAGAGACAGGCGGGCTCACCACAACGACGGCCAGGCTCACTGCACACTACAGACAGCGATGGTCTGTCATGCTGCAACGCTCCCAGGCCACTTCCTTCCTGAAAAAGTCAAACCTAGGGGACGAGGCAGCGTTCATCCAGGCAGGAAAGGACCCATGGGAGCCAAGCCTCGGGGACCTTTGGCAGGTCCTAGAGGACGACATGTAGAGGGGTAGAAGGGGATGGACACGGTTTAGCCTGAGGAGTGCAGGTCGACCTACCTGCTGGTCCCGCTATGCTAGGCTGTGCTGCTCTTGCCATGCCCGGCCTGGCTTGGCAAACACCTTCCTGGCAAAGTCTAACCGGGCTGCAAAGAGTGCCTACCCCCAGGCGGCGGCTGACCCGTGGGAGGCCCGCCTTGGGGATCTCTGGCAGGTCCTGGAAGACGACCTGGACTGGGGGCCGGCCCTGGAGGTGTGAGGGGCCGGGGCAAGGGGGACCCCAGGCAGCGGCGCTCGTGGGACGGGCACTGGGTAGGTCCTGGCCAGCCGAGCCAATTAGCAAGGAAGGGATAGGTCGTTGCTTGTCTGCTTGTTCACTTGTTTGCTGGCAGGTTGGCTAGTTTGCTAGTATGCAGGCTAGGATGACTGCTACTTCCATGCCTTGCTTGTATCTGGCTTACTATCAATGAAGGACCGCTTGAGAGAGAGGATCCTAGCCTCTGGTCTCTCCCCTTAGCCCTCTGTCCTCTCCTTGAGAGCTATATAAGAGGCCCCCCTGGGCCCCTTCACCTCATTGTTCGGCTGGTGCGGAAAAATTTCGCTCCGTTCGAGAGAGCGAGAGAGAGAGAGAGAGAGAGAGAGAGAGGATCCTAGCCTCTGGTCTCTCCCCTTAGCCCTCTGTCCTCTCCTTGAGAGCTATATAAGAGGCCCCCCTGGGCCCCTTCACCTCATTGTTCGGCTGGTGCGGAAAAATTTCGCTCCGTTCGAGAGAGCGAGAGAGAGAGAGAGAGAGAGAGAGAGAGAGAGGATCCTAGCCTCTGGTCTCTCCCCTTAGCCCTCTGTCCTCTCCTTGAGAGTTATATAAGAGGCCCCCCTGGGCCCCTTCACCTCATTGTTCGGCTGGTGCGGAAAACTTTCGCTCCGTTCGAGAGAGCGAGAGAGAGAGAGAGAGAGAGAGAGGATCCTAGCCTCTGGTCTCTCCCCTTAGCCCTCTGTCCTCTCCTTGAGAGCTATATAAGAGGCCCCCCTGGGCCCCTTCACCTCATTGTTCGGCTGGTGTGGAAAACTTTCGCTCCGTTCGAGAGAGCGAGAGAGAGAGAGAGAGAGAGAGGATCCTAGCCTCTGGTCTCTCCCCTTAGCCCTCTGTCCTCTCCTTGAGAGCTATATAAGAGGCCCCCCTGGGCCCCTTCACCTCATTGTTCGGCTGGTGCGGAAAACTTTCGCTCCGTTCGAGAGAGCGAGAGAGAGAGAGAGAGAGAGGATCCTAGCCTCTGGTCTCTCCCCTTAGCCCTCTGTCCTCTCCTTGAGAGCTATATAAGAGGCCCCCCTGGGCCCCTTCACCTCATTGTTCGGCTGGTGCGGAAAACTTTCGCTCGCGCCGGCCGCCGAAGGCGGCCGGCGCTCGACAGCGCGGCCTTCGGCCGCGCTTGAGGGGACAGCAAGTGACAATACTAAGAGTTGCTCATAAACAACGGCATCACAAACATGGCTCTTCCTACAGCAACCTAGACAAGCAAATCAAATATGGGGCAATCAGAGCCCGCATCTACATGCGGTGAGCTCCAAGGGCGTGAAGAATGCCCGTCAGGGAGCGCCACAGCTCCCGGACCACTAGCGTGCTTGCGCCGATCGCCGCGGCTCCAGATCCTCCGCGCAAGTGCCGCCTCAAGCCCCGGACGGCTTCGTCAAGCTGTCCCGCAGCAGCAGCGCCGCCCTCCGCGGGCGCAGCCAGCACGGGCGCCAGCAGCACCGCGAGCTGGTCTGCCGCGTCCAGGCAAGAGTCACTCTAGCGGCCACGGAAGGTCTCAGGAGGGATCACAGGGAGAGAGGAGTGGGCCAGCACTTGAATCAGCAGCAGAGCATGGAGACTGTCAGCGAGGCGGGAACACGGGTCTGCGGAGGCTGGAGTGCCTCCACCAGGAACTGGAGCGGCTCTTCAGCACCAGCTGGGAGAGCAAACGGAGCCGCCAACGAGCCGCCTCCCGCGGCCACAAACTCCACTCCCGCAACGGGCGGAACCGGCGGCAGATGGAGACGAGAACCGGGAGCAGGTGCCGATACGGCGGGAGAAGGAGCTGGTGGCGCTTGGATGTGAGGGGGAGGCGGAGCAACATGCTGCGGGTTCGGGGGGAGCGCAGCCGGACGGGGAGCCTCGTGGGCTGGCAAGGCGCGCAGCGAACTGCTCTGGCTCTGCGCCGCCCTCTCCTCCCGAACCGCCCTCGACACTTCCCGCTGAAGATCCGCCATCGTCACAGGCGGGCGATACCCCCCACCCCCGCCACGAGCACGGGGACCCCTCCAATCCCCCTGACCCACGGGGTGAGCAGGCCAGTGCGACTGTTGCTGGTACCGCCGTGGAGATTCACGGCGGCGACGAGAGGACTTGCGGTCTTGATGGGGAGCGGGGGAATGGGGGCGTGACGAGCGACGGTCAGGCGACGGAGGGCGTGAAGGCTGGCCTGCAGGAGCCACCGCCGTCACAGCAGGGGCGGACTGGCCCGCCGCCGCAGGCGCAACCGACGGAGCTGGCTCGCCAGTGGTGGCGGACGCCGCCTTTGGTGACGAAGCAGAGGCATGCGCAGGCAGGCAGGGGATAGAAGCGGTCGGCGCAACAAGGGCGCCAGGGACAGGTGCAGGGGGTTCAGCAACACCCCCAGCAGGGGCAGACGCCGACGGCTCGACAAGGGGAGCCAGGGGGCCAGGTGCCGCAGGCGGAGCAGACGGAACAGCAGCGGGAGCGGACGGGCCTGCCCCTGACCCGGCAAGGGGATCCGCGGGTGCGTGGGGAGGAGTCTTTTCAGAGACTGCTGTCATGGGTTTCGGAACCGGCGGTAGAGGGGGCTTCGTCGCCATGGTCGCCCTTTCGGGCTCCGCCAGAGGCTTGGCGACCGCAGCCGACCAGGCGGCAACGAGCTCTGGCGACGGCTCAGGTGCTCCGGCAATCACCATCCCTACAGCAAGGAAGCCGCGTGGCGAGGAGAGAAACCGTAAGCGGAACAGGCGGAGGGCCAGAGAATGGGTATCAGGCGGCGGCGAGAATGGCTTTAAACAACGTGGAGGAAACTATTAGTAATGATGAAGACGAGCAGGACGACCCATCTTATAGGGAAGAAGCCCTTCCCAAGAGCGAGGAGGAGGAGACGGAGGGAGAAGGCATGGCGAGAGAAGGACCAAGGAGACGGGAAGAGGTGGTGCAGCAGGCGGAATTGCAAGTACCACAGATGACTCAGCCACCATCCGATGCTGATCGGACGGGTGCAAATCCAACCTCAAGCCCACCAATGAGATCGAGCCGCGCTGGGAGAAATCGAACCGCCAGTGCCGGGGCTGCGGCGCGCCCACCAGCATCAATTCCCCGCTACTTTTCACCGGACGAGCTAGCGAAGCGGACAGACCTGTTCGCAGCCATCGCGAACTGGGACATTCCAGCACTTTGCGACAGTCGTCAGCCTCCACTGTCGCGGCGTTTACCGCCAAACCTGTGTCAGCTTTTTTCGCTCGCGCTACTGACACCGTTACACCACCTATCACGAAACCCGGATTCGGAAATGGGATGGCGCCTGCTGCTGTTTCTCCCACGCCTAACGCTTCGCCAGACCTCGCCACAACGCCCGAACTGGCCAAGTGTCAAGAGCCGGCTCCGAGCTTTCCAGCGTGGCGAATGGGATCAGCTATACCAAGACGCGTTGAACGCAGTCAACACACCGCCCCCGCCAAGACATCAGCCAGATGCGACAGGTGTCATCAGCCGTGCAGAGAGCCTGGCGAAACGTGGCAGTCTGCGCCGAGCCGTGTTGGCCCTCGAGTCAACGCCCGTCTGCACAGCCAGCCCGGAAATATTGGAGGAGCTGCGCAAAAAGCACCCACCCGCTGGAGACGAGGCGGTGACGTGGCCCGAGACACAAGGGTCAAAGCTGTCAATCCCCCACCCTGATTTCGCCAAATTGTTGGGGAGATGCGAGAATGGGGTCGGGGCCGGTCCATCAGGGATGACATTCTCGGGAAATGTCCCAGCGGGGTAGGCTCGGGCCCCTCAGGAACCTGCTTCGAACATTTCCGCGACCCTGCACTGGGCAATGAGGAAATACTTACCCTCCTGCGTAGTGCAATCAACCATCTCCTAGGCAACTTCCTCCCCCAGTCAGTACGTGACATTCTCAACCCATCACGACTTATCGCGCTGGAGAAACCGAATGGTGGTGTTCGCCCAATTGCCATAGGAGAAGCCATCCTACGCTTAGCTTCTAAGGCAGCATTACGCGAATTAGGTCCGGCGATCCGCTCATTCTTCGTCCCCGTACAATTCGGCGTAGCGGTTCAAGGCGGAGCGGAATGCATAATCCACTCAGTAAGGGCGCTGCTGGAAGAGGATCGTAAACGCGTGGCGTTACAAATCGACGTAACAAACGCCTTCAACAGTGTGGAGAGAGCGGCCTTTATGAACTCGATTCAGTGGTCCGAGCTCAATCCTCTCCTACCGTTGGTTCGAAACCTCTATGACGGGCCTTCACGTCTACAACTGGACACGGCATTCGGAGAAGAACACATCCACAGCACTAGGGGTGTACGTCAGGGCGATCCGCTAGGCCCGCTCCTGTTTGCCGTGGCCATCCAACCGTCGCTTCTGCATGCCGCGATGGCTTTCACTGACGTCACGATAGTCGCCTATGCGGATGACATTACGGTGGTGGTGTTATGTGATGCTATCATCTGCATTCACGTCTGTCTGCCTCCCATCATATGTTCGTGCGTTGCATGCGTGGTGTGAGCGTGTGCAAGAATTTGTGTTTGATGTGGTTTGGCTTGAGCAGATATCCGAAGTGACTTCTCTGCTCAAGAGCTTTCCGTCAAGCCAAGTATCGCTTCAATCGGAGCACGAACAAGAAAGTTACGAACGTTTGAAGTTCGTATGCTTTTGATATTTGGTTGTGGTGACTATGGGAAGTTGTGGGGTTGACTCCATATGGGGTACAGACTTTTTGGGGTTTGAGAAATTCGTCAGCATCACTGTAGATGCTGCCAAGTGGTTGGGCGGAGCCAAACCAGGTTGGCAAGTGTGGCCAAGTTGGGCAAGGTGGATGACATGGGTTGGGAAAGCGACAAAAGTGAAAGTGGGGTTGCCTATGGAGAGGGGAATTGTGTGGCATGGGGTTTCCATGGTTGGGGACTCTCTTGGGACCTTCCCTCTCGTCCTCCTCATCCCATCCCACCTGGTTTATTGCCACTCTAACTCTCTTGTGTAGCAATTGTGAAATTGTGAGACTCTTATCATTGAGTTAAGTTCTCATGGCAGCATACCCCCCTGTGCGCCGAAATTGATAAGTCGAGATTTACTTCACCTTTTGATACGATTCAAACTGGGATTTGTAGCCACGGACTAGGGCTACAACATATCTGAGTTTGGTGAAGTTGTCACCGTGAACTTCTCGTCGACGGCGTTTCTTGTGAACTCGACTTTTCTGTCCAGAAATTGAGACCAACGATTTTGTTATATTTCGGCTCCTAATCTTCATAGACTCCATCCTTAGTCTCTAACAAGTGGTATCAGAGCTGATTAAGGACTTTGTGGAGAGTCTACTGAAGTGTGAAGACCCTCCTAGACCCACCATGGCCTGTGGGCGTGCCTAAGTGGAGTTTTGGAGGTTGGATGTGACTTCCGCTAAGGGGAAACTCTGCCGAAATTTCGTTGGCGCCGACACTTGTGGAAATTGTGTGGGACTTCGGTGTGGACAGCAAAGGGGGAGCTGGAACCTGTGATTGGGAGCAGAGGAGTTGAGTCAAGGGAGTGGAGAAGCAGATGAGAAGAGGGGTGAGCCGCCACCATCCAAGATTGAGGCGTTGGATGGCTCCAACTACGAGGAATGGAGCGGGCGGATGCGGAGCGCCTTCAAGCGCTATAAGCTGCTGAAACTCGCGATGGGAGAAGAGAAGATGCCGGAGGAAGGAGATGCCCGCGATCGATGGATTGAGAAAAGCGCGGTGCTGTACGACTTGATTCTACAGTCGGTCAACAATGACATGTTCCAGCACATCAAGGATTTGGTGGAGCTCGATGACTCGGGACCAAAGGCGTGGAAGCTGCTAAGCGACGTGATTCAGCCCAACACGCTGCCCATGGTGATCGTGCTTGAGAAGGAGCTGGCGGCCATCTCCATGCGATCGGGAGATGATGTGAAGCCAGTCCTTGACAAGATCAAGGACACATATGCGAGGATGGCAGCGGCGGGCAGCGAGGTGTCGCAGATGCAGCAATGCACCAAGATCATCTCGGTGCTCGACAACTCGTGGGACAACCTCATCCCCACCCTCAACGTTCAGCAGGACAAGTGGACACCTGAGTGGCTACGGCAGCAGATCCTGCAGGAGGACTTCCGCAGGCGCCACACGGGAGGTGGTGTTGCCAACAAAACTGCTGAGGGGTAAGGAGCTGCAGGAGGCAGCAGAGGAAGAGGGGGAGGGAGAGGTCGAGGCCGTGGGAGAGGCTTTGGTAGAGGGAGAGGCCGAGGTGACTACAATGAGGGGCATGCGAGCTCTGGTGGCAGGGGGAGCACCCGAATGGAGGGTGCGTGCTGGTACTGTAAGAAGGCAGGACACCCGTGGTTGAAGTGTTTCAGCCGGCCTGAGGGATGGGCGCCTCCAGGCATGAAACCGCCAAATGGTGAACGTGCACGAGGTGGTGCTGTGCAAGGTTCAGGTGCACAAGGTGATGGTGCACAAGGTAAAGCCGACCCTGGGATGTTCCTCATGGTTGAGGATGTGAAAGGGAGTGAGGGTGTGGGTTCAGTTGGGAAGGTTGTGATGCACCCCCTCACTCACTGGGTGATCGATTCAGGTTGCACAAGTCACATGACCCCACGGGCAGATTTGCTTGACAAGGTAAAACCCCCTGGGAAGATCAAGTTTGTGGCTGCCGCTTCAGGTGCTTTGCTCCCTGTGATTGGTGTTGGGAATCCCAAGGTAATGGGAGCTAAAGGGGAACTTGTGGGGCTGGGGAATGTGCTGTTGGTTGAAGGTTTGTCCGCTAACCTTCTTTCTGTGCGCCGGCTGCAGAAAAGCAAGGCTAAAGTTACGTTCGGCCCAACCAGTTGCCGTGCAAAGCTTGGGAAGTTGCTGCTGTGGGACTTGGAGGAGAAGAGCAGCTGCATCAAGGACCTCTGGCAGCTGCCCATCATTCCTTGGAATGGGAAACCACCAGCAACGGCAGCGGCAGCAGCAACGGCTAAAGCAACTGCGGGAGGAGAGAAGACGGCACCAACTGCTGGGGCCCTAGATGCAGTCAAGAAGGTGCAGCAGCCACAGCAGCCACATGGTGAGGTGCTTGCTGGTGTGGATGCAACCGCTGCATGGGCAAAGGCTTCATCCGGGAGTGGTGAGGCCGATTGGGAGATGTGGCACGAGAGGCTGTGTCATGTGAATTTCCCTATGCTGCAGAAGCTAGTGAAGGGGCTGGAGGTGAAGGGGGTAGCAAAGGAGATTGGGAGCTGCCCTACATGCCTTGAGACTAAATTCACCAAGTTCCCCTTCAGCAGCAGCACGGGACCAGCCAAGGCTCCACTTGCGCTAGTGCACATGGATGTGGTGGGCCCTACGAGGGCCCCTTCTCTCTCGGGCAGCCGCTACTTCTTGACCATTGTGGACGACCACACGCGTGCGGTGTGGGTCTACCCTCTGAAGACTAAGGGGGAGGTGGCAGCGGCTGTTCTTAAGGAGTGGATGCCGAGAGCTCAAAGGGAGAGCGGACATAAGGTGAAGGTGATCCGCACTGACAACGGGGGAGAGTTCATTGGCACTGATATTGAGGTGGTGCTGAAGAA